AATGCTAGTAATAGGGCAGTAAAATCTCATATCTGTGCATCTAATTAAAAACTGATGATAGATTGTGATCATAGCTGAACTGGTTCATTCTTGGTTGTATAAGTAGTTTGCTAAGCAAATTGGTAGAACATACAAATTGTAGGACAGATGTTTAACCTATTTAAGAAAACATAACTATTTTTAAGAACTTTTAGTAATACTATTGCATTCACTTTACAAACTAATTACAATGCTTACTTATAAAACAGGTCTTCTCAGCTAGCTATTAGGTTGCTTTAGAAACTCAAGAAAAATAAATTCATTTTTTTTCATAAATCTTTTTTAACTCAGCATCGAACTAATTCATGCTTACCTTCTCCCCCATTGTTATAAATGAGGTTCCATTGATAATGTCAAGTTATAAATAGGGATTATTTCGGAGCTTTAAAATTTGGTAAGAATGACAGCATTCTGATTTTTTAAAAACGCAAATGTGAACTTCCCCCAACACAAATAACTCAAATTGGCAAAGCTGAGATAAATGAAAAAAAGAATAGTGCGTTTCTTTTCACTTCTGTCAGTATTTGTGTAGTTGTTCAAGGCATTGACAGTAAAAAAAACAATGTATTGTTACGTTTGTCCTGAGCATTCCATAAGAAATTTAAAAACATAAAGGCCAAGAAAATAATGTTTCTAAATTGGTGTTTCACGGGACAACACTAAGTGACTTCATTCGATAGGAGAGAGTGGGCGGTGGTTGGAGGTCGCCCCTCGGTGAGCCGGTTCACAACCGGACAAGAGTGTCCCCATTGGTGCGAACTGAGCGGACGAGTGTGTGACCAACGTAGCCATAGGTGGTCTATTGTAAACACCACATGGAATGTTTATTTCTCGACTTTTACAATGAATTTTTTTATTTTAAAAGAACCTCAATTTGTTTTCAAATGTTCAGGGGGTGTAGTTTGTGTGTTTCAGTTATATTTCCAGTGTTCCCCTCGCCCCTGGAGTCTCCGAAGCCTACTGCTTTGCCAATGAGCAACGCCAGAAGCAGAGAAACCACGATAACCTCTGAGCATGGTCCAGGTTGGTGGACCAAATGCCCTCAAAAACAACCTACGAAGGGACAGAGTGAGAGCTTTTTCCCCTCTCTAGCTCTTGCCTATTCACTGACCCTAAATTCTGAGGTTTGCACAGAGGCTTAAGTTAAAGTATGGCAGGCAGTAGGATCTGCAGAATATGACACGCAAAAAGGTAGCTGGCAGAGTAAAATAGCCCCACCTCCTGGTTGTTCTGAAACCTGGCGAGTGCAGAATAATTTGGAGAGCAACCGTTTTGTCTCTTTTCCTAGAGACTTATTGACTTGCAGTTGGACCCAGGAGTCTACGTATCTACCAGTTAACTCTGAATCAGGTGGTCCATGGACAAGACTTTGTAAAATATTTCTGATAAGGTATACCACGGGCAAAATGTTAGCAGAAGATATCCTAGTTATATGCTTTATGTTCATTTGCACCAGATATTATCTGACTCAGTGTCATGATACTTACTAAAAAAAAACCCAACCAAACAACTAAACCAGAAGTCTTTTAAGAAACAATTACACATAGACCTATCGAGATAGGAATGATAACTGTGGTGGAAGAGATAAGCAAAAAATGGCCACTGGAAGGAAAGGAGAATTTTTGTGTTTCACGTTTGCTAAAAAGTTGAAGGTAGACTCCAGAGGACAATAATATTAGAGTGTTTAGCAATTTAGAATATTCGTTATCCTAAAGTAGACAACAGCAAGTTGAAAATTATACTTATTAGTATCTGAAATTTTGATTTTTCTTTTTCTATACAGGATGAAAGACAACTCTGAAGTGTAGAAAACTCTCCTCAATAACAGTGTCAAGCTTGGGAAACAACATTAAGGGTGCATCCAGCTGCTGGATGTTTAAGTGTATTAGACTCAATTATACTTAGAAGAGGGTAGCGAAGCTGTATCCCTGTCTGAAGAGATGCCTTATACCAAGGTCCGCCTGTCCTTCTCGGGATGTCCACCATTAAGAACTAAACCCTCAGTTTTCTGTTCAAAGTCAACTTCAGCAAGTGGGGTTATTTATATTGAAAGCAAAATTATTTTCTATACTTTTGCTCTGTTCATAAAACTGATTACCCCTTCATAACAATAACTGCAAAAAGAAACACAGTATAATAGGTAAAGAACACATTTGCTGTTTTTATTGGTGCCTTGCATGGCAGTAATACTGAAAAAAGAGAATGCAAAAACAAAAAAACAAAACAAAAACAAAAACAGGTTGGTGGCAACCCACATCTTTTTTTTTTTTTTTTTTAAGAGTACATAAACTCCTGTTTTATTTTTATTGTGGCATGAATGATAACATAAAACCAAAACACATGAAAATATACAACTTATATTACACTATGTGTTATGAACAAAATATAAATCTATAACTCTATGTTATATTTACATAATTATTTATTTTATTAAATTTCAAGTGAGATGGTAGGTTGCACATACTTTGTTTTAAGCTCCAGGCATTTGATTGTCTCTTCTCTACTTTTTACCTTTTTTTTACTCCTAAAATCCACAATGTTAGAAGGACTAAGAGCTTTAGAGCCAGTGGGGCTATATAAATACTGTTTCAGGGAGCCAGTGACGGAGACACTGGGAGGACAGGAGTCAGTCAGTAGAAAACTCAACACAACATCATCTTCAACCTGGGAAACTGAGAGTTATGGGACATTTTAAAATTAAATACTGTGAAAGCCTGTCGAAATGAAAACGTATGCCCTACAAGACAAAGAGGTCTCCGAACCGCTTTTAGCGGGCTTCATATTTTTTCTTGCAGACCTCATCATTTTTCTTTTACTCTTACCTTGATAAACAAATATCTCATAAACCTGTTTGTAAATATACAATTGTTTATTACAATTCAATAATTTACCTACTAGAATGGTTGAAAATGTGATTATTTCTGACGTTTTAAATGTGATCAGAGAGGTTTCTTCTAGGAACAGTAACAACTTCTGGATTAAGAAAATATCTGAAATCGGACCATGAAATATCTATGCAATAATTTCACCAAAGTAAACTCTTTTATATTTGTTCCTTACATGAGGATTTGGTTTCAATAATGATTATGTTCTTTGGGGGGATGGATTTTTATACATGGTTCATTAACTCTTAACTGCGGATGCCAAAAAAAAAATTTTTTAAATCTACTTAACTAATTTAGGTACTGAAGAATATGTTTGTATTTTATCCAATTGTCATAACTAGCCAAATTATTGGTAACTAATAAATGAGCAACTTTAACTTAGTTTTCTCCAGTAATGTTCTCTTAGATTCATATTCAAACATGATTAATTTTCAGAGGAACTGATTACAACAGCCATAAAAAGAAGAATTCTGGCAGGATTACTCCTCAGTACTGGTGTGAGAGAGAGAGAGAGAGAGAGAGAGAGAGAGAGAGAGAGATGAAGAGAGAGAGAGAGATGAAGAGAGAGAGAGATGAAGAGAGAGAGAGAGATGGAGAGAGAGAGATGAAGAGAGAGAGAGAGAGAGAGAGATGGAGAGAGAGAGATGGTGAAAGGGGAGGTAAGGAAGAAACAGAGAGAGAAGGAAGATTATGTTCATTTCAGTTTGATCTTATTTTCATTTCCTCTACCTTATCATTTTTGGTCATCATGGGGCACAGGAAAAGAATGCAAGGTTTTAGGATCCTTTACAAAAATTATAAACCAATCAAATGCCAAAAAAGGCAACGTGTTAACACAGTACGTTGCTATTAATAGCACCTTTATCAAATGACTTCAAAACATTTTAAACATTAATAGAATTTCTTTTGTTTCTTTGGGGGGAAATTATCGCAAAGAAATTGTAACACCAGTGAGTGAGATGCCAGAACAAGAGAATATAATGCAGGGCCATGAACTCGCTGTTGGTTTCAGTCATGCAGTTTAGTCTCTGTGACATAAATTTAACTAAATGAAATTAACTTCTGAATTTCAGCAGTTAAAGGTCACCATTAACAATGCTGTTTTTCCTTTTCAATAAAACAAAATAAAAAACAAACAAGAAAAAGACCAAACAGAAGTGTTTTGTCAATTCACTGGTATGTGTGTTAGAATTGGTTTCAGCCATGAATGCCCTCAAGCGGCATCTACCTGGAGCTAAAACAAAGTATTCTTGTAGCCCGAAGTCATGAAATGAAAACCAAGTATTTTTATAACATGGAGTAAAATAAGTATCCAGCAAACGTGAGAGGTGAACCCACACAAATCAGAGATAATTTCTTAATGAAGACGGAGAACAAATTTTTTAAAATCTGTTTTCACATTGTACATAATAACGATATAAAAAGAAGTGTCTATTTTTCTTATCCAGAGTGCTTGAAAACAAAATGAAACAAACGAACAAACAAAAAAAAAAATTGGCTCTAGATGACTGTGGCAATTAAATAACTAAAATGACTGATGAGAGCATAAGTTAATTAAGATTGAACACGACCCTCCTATCAATTCACTCCTGTGTACTAAACACCAGAACTTGACATTATTGGGGCCAAATTGTTTAAAAGAAGAAAATTTGTGGAAGGAGAAGTAAAATTATCTGGGTAAATATGTGTGTGTGTGTGTATGTGTGAAAATTCATTTTAAATATCTAACAGCTTATTGGCTGTACTTCCAAATCAGAGCAGAATAAAATAGAAAGGGCGAAATAAATTATACATAACTTACTAATCTGGGAACAGCTGACCATTATTATTATTACTATTATTATTATTATTTTATCATCATCATCATTATTACAACACTAGCAAAAAGAGGCAGTTCAAATGAAAATACAGTCATCAAAAACAAACAGAAAAAACAAACAAAACAAAATCTCTGACATGCAGGATATGATCAGCTCCTCCAAGCAAAACCCCAGAGCAAGTCTTTTGAGAGAGAGAAAAATAAAAAGGATTTTTTTTCCTTATTTGTAAAAATCAGATTTTCGGGTAGGGATGGGGGGCGGGTGGGAGAGGAAAGTGATGACTGAAGTTAAAGACACAGCGCTTCCCAGCTACTGGTTGGAGGATTCACTGTCTGGTGCCTCTGCACAAATAATGGCAACGGACTTCCAATGAGTTTGCATTTGTTCAAGCCCTGTGACTGCCTGAGCACGTGGCTGGCAACACTTCAATACGCAGTCCCGTCACCATCCGTGGCTGCTCTATGCATGTCCTCTGCTGGGACCTCAACTTGGACTCCAGTGGTCCGTCTGACAGCGGGAGGGGTGGTGGAGGGATCGCTGGGTGCGGTCAGGCTCCACTGTGTTGGGCTGTGAGGACTTTTAATCAAATCCTGCTTTTTGGCGTGAGATGCACGTGGCCCACAATCTGAAATGCAAATGGCCTCCACCTCATGTAATGGAGAGAATGAAAAAGACCTTAGCAATTCATCAATTCCACGTCCTCATCAGGAAAGGGTGGAATTTTGAAGAAAGAAGCTAATTCTCTACTTCTGGAAAATGGGCAAATATCGTCAAGAAAAACAACCATTGTTTTGCTTGAAGGTATCAACAGGAAAAACAAACAGAAATCGTTACGTAGAGAAAGTTAGTGAAACCGACTGACCAAGGAGAAGGGACATCTGGGAGCAGTTTGCTGGTAGCTTCCATATTATACATGCACACATCTATTACACAGGGCCACCGGATTCATCCAATAATAATCATATTAGAAATTGAAAAATATAATTTCTGAGCCCTATATTGGTTAAGTTGTCATTTGAAGTGCAAAGTCAAGGTCAAGGTTGCTTCCAGACCAGTCACTTAGGAGGATGTGGGATTTCATCCCCAGGTGTGGGTTTAACTCACAATGGTCCAACGTTATTCCTATTAGTACCATAATCACACACATACATACACACAAAAATCCAAGATCAGAAAATATTTTTCTCTAAATTTCTTATGTCTCTCTCTCTCTCTTTTCACCTGAGAACAGCACCTACAGTTTCCATTAAAAAAAAAAAAAAAAAAAAAAGTCAAATCACACCAGCTGCTGGTATTTCAGGTTTTTCAAGGGATTGTCTGAGATATAACACTGTCCTAATTGAAGAAGGAATAGGACAACGAAAAGGGAAGAAATGAACTGGGTCAACCCTTCAGTACAAATTTGGCACTTGCTCAAAGATGTAGTGTGGTGTGCAATAGATAAAGTCCCCTAAAGAAAATAATCGCTTATTTTGTGATGGATAGCAAGGAAGTTAAAAACAGGCTCTTTTTCCCTCTTCGCCCCCATGCACAGACTTCCATCTTTAAAGTATAGAGATGGAGAAGGTGGAGAGAAGTAAAGAGAAATTCATCTTTCTTTTTTTCTGTCAGGTGCATTACAAAAAAACAAAACAAAACAGAAAAGAAACAAAAAGAAAAAACAAAAAGAAAACCCCCCAGAAAACCTCCCAAAACAAAACAAAACTTATTTCTTTTTAAAAATTGTAGCACAAAACAACAAAACACATTCACAAGCCACTTGTTGGCACTGTGTACCTGAGTGAGAATTTCTAGAACATTGTAGAACAAACAGCCATAAAGTTTATTTAAAAAAAAAAAGTTGACGGGTAAGACTTCAGTGCTTGGATGTAGCAGCTGAATTACTGGCATTATTTTACCCATAGCTTATTTCAATCTCTTGTTGTTGATATTGTTGTTTGCTTGTTGGATTTTTTTTTTTTTTTTTCCTTTCCAAGCCTTTTGAGGCTGAGGTCTATTAGTCAGCTGATGTCCCAACTATTTAAGACTAACAGTTAAAGTAACAGTCAGTGTATGAGAAAGTTAATGTGCTTGGCCACTGGTAAGGATGAACCAGCTAGGGCTTCTTTAAGTCCTAAGGTCACAACAATCTTTTGATCCTTATCAGTTGGCTTGTCCTGCAATATGGTTTTCACTGTCACTCCCATAATCTACATCTGGATCATCCTCTTCCTCATCGTATTCATCATAAATTTCTCCGTTGATGTCCTCAGCCTGCATCTCTTCTTTGATATGTGGCTCCTCTCCTTTCACGCCGTAAGTGCTCTGGATGACGGGCATGCCAGGCTCCGGGCTGCTGGACACGCTCGAGTGCTCTGAGGGCAGGTGAGGCGAGGGCATTCCGGCCATGGTGATGGCTCCGGGGTACACTACGCCAGCAGTAGCGATGGGAATCTGTGCTTGTTGCCTGTCGGAGAGACGCCCCGAAAGAGACCGTGGTGAGTGAATGGTTAGATGCAGGCCTTGCTATATCATTAGTCTGCTCAGTTTGTCCAATTCTAAGGCACTGATTTTCACCCAATCGCCCAACGTTTAAAAAATTGTACCCTACTTTGACTTCAATGCCTTACTTCCCTGTAGTGCTTTATAGATTAGAAGACATATCTTGGATTCTTAAAATAATCCTGTTTTGCCCTGGCCAGTTTGGCTCAGCGGTTAGAGCGTCGGCCTGCGGTCCGGAGAGACCCGGGTTCGGTTCCCGCTAAGGGCACGTACTTCGGTTGCAGTTTGTCCCCGGCCCTGGTTGGTCGTGTGGGTGGCAGCCACTCGATGTGTCCCTTCACATCGATGTTTCTCTCTCTCTCTTCCTTCCTCTCTCTCCCTCCCACTCTATCTGTACAAAAAATGGAAAAATATCCTCGGGTGAGGATTAAAAAAATAATAATAATAATAATCCTGTTTTGCCCTGGCCAGTTTGGCTCAGCGTTTGAGCGTCGGCCTGTGGACCAGAGAGTCCCAGGTTCGGTTCTCGCTAGGGGCACGTACCACAAAAACATAAATAAATAAAATAATCCTGTTTTGTTACTCTTCTATTCCATGAAAAAATTGAGGTGCAGAAAGATTAAGCAAAAGAACCCAGGTCCTTAACCCCAAGTTCACTTTCCTTCATGACAACATGCAGAAACATTGAAAAAAAAAAAGAATTATAATTCAACTTTCATGGAAACATCCTAAAGTATTAGAGCTCTGAAAGTAAAACCTTACCGCCCAGAACTTACCAGAAATGCACACTATCACTGTCCACCTAGTTCCTGACATAGTTTGAGGTAGGGGTAGGGAACAGGCCAGACTTATGAGTGGACAACCTCTGAAGCTACATGGGCCTTGGAGCTTGGAAAGAGTCTACCCTTGTCTTTAAGGTCTGTGTCAAAGCCTTAACATTTATAGTAACTTTTCAACAGGGACCCTGTGTTTTCATTTTGTACTGGGATCAACAAATTATGTAGCTGGTCCTAGCAGGAAGGGATTAATAAATGGTATTTATTCATACATTCTTTCATTCATTCATATGTTCATATGTTCACTACTCCCCAAGAAGTGTTAGGTGTCCTTCTTAGCTAAGCCATGCACTAGCATATAAATCCCAGACCCCGGCCCTGGCTGGTTTGGTTCAGCGGCAGAACGTCACACTCAGACCAAAAAGTCACAGGTTTGATAATGGCCAAGGGCAAGTACCTCTATTGCAGTTTGTCCCCGGCCCTGGTTGGGGTCATGCAGGAGGCAACAAGTTGATGTGTCCCTCTCACATCGGTGTTTCTCTCTCTCTCCCCCTCTCTCTTTACCCTTCTCCCACTCTACCTGAAGACATTTGAGAAAATATCCTAGGGTGAGGATTAAAAAAAATAAAAATAATTCCCAGACCCTGGACAGAGCAGGATGCCCCTTTCACGGGAATGCAGGGGATGGGGCAGATTTGAAAAGTTCACCTCTGACCATTTTCATAACAGCTTTTACTCTAAAAAGCTTTTGGGATCTTACTAACTTGTATTCCAAATAGGAGGAATTTTATTCCTGTGTTTTTTGAGAAAGTCCTGCAGACGCGATGTGGGGGCAGGCAGCCTATTACAGGGTGGGGAGCTGCATTCTACATTCAGAGAGAACTTTCCCATTCACACCTGCTGTGCCCTAGAGGCCCACTCTGTGTGCCCTGCAAAGACCCACATGTGCCCTCAGAATCCCCTCCATACCAGAAACTAGTGTTTCTTTCTTTTGAAATCATTTTTATGTTGAATTATCTCAACCAACTTAGCCGTGGTGGCATTATCTCTGTGAACCTGGGAAGTAATGAAAGTCGAGGAAAAGAGCCAGCCAGTGATCCTTCTGAGTTTTGAAGCGCAAACTTCAAAATGATTATTTCTGAGCCTGCATTTTTCAAACCAGCCATTAACACAGCTCAGGGAGCTTGGAGCGAATTCCCACCGGCTGTTCTTTTCCAGGATCACGCGGGGGAGAGTTTGAGCTCTGAAATGCACCGCGGTGAGGTCCTCCGCCTCAATCCCGTCTGCCCACTAAACAAACACGTCTTCCCACCCCGTTTGCCCACTACACAAACACGTCTTCCCACCCCGTTTGCCCACTACACAAACACGTCTTCCCACCCCGTTTGCCCACTACACAAACACGTCTTCCCACCCCGTTAAGCGTAACAGGGCCGTTCCCTGGAAAGGGCGGCTGGAAGGCGCGTACCCAACGTTGAAGTACTGCCGCATCTCCTGCCGCCTGTTCCGCATGATGGCCTTGTACTCCCCGATGCGCAGCTTCTTGCCGTCCACGAGGCAGGTGCGCTTCGGCCTGGGCTTGTACTTGTAGTCGGGGTACTTCTCCAGGTGCTGCTTGCTGAGGCGGGCCTGCTCCTCGTAATACGGCTGTTTCTCTAGGTTTGTCATCGCTTTCCAGCGAGACCCTGCGAGGAAAAGAGGGTTAAGATTCCAATTTGAACAGCTGCTCAGGATCCTAAAAAGATACGCCTGAGAACAAGAAAATCGAAAGTAAAAATGCTGGCGAAAAGCCAGAAATACAGAATGCTGTTTCTGAGTCGTGAGCTTTGACTCGAGACGTGAGGCTCAAGGACAGAGGTGTTAGTGGTCTGTCAAAGAAACTGTGCCCCCAAAGGTACAAGCACTGGGCAACGTATGTATTTTTTTCCTGGCACGGATTAACGATTTAGCCAAACTTGTCTGGTACGTAAGTAAAAGCTCATAGGTAACTTAATGGACATGTCTTTTACTCTTACATTAGGCCATGATATAATTCAAGTGTGAATTGAAAAGTTATGCAAAAGCTCACTACATATTTTCAATCTGAGGTTAATATTCTGGTTTTGGGTATTTTTATCTGGGCGTACGTTACTTATTATAAAGCTTTATAATGTTTATTACATATAATCCTTGTTCTCCCAAAATGTTTAAGTATATTTATAAGAATAATTACATTAAAATTCATTAAAATTTTAATTATTAAAGGTTCTGTATTAATGAACCTGCACTGTTTAACCACTGTGTGCTAGGTACTATGCCAAAATTTTACATAAATTATCTCAATCCTGTAAGATAGACATTATTTTTTACTGCAATCCTGTAAGATAGACATTATTTATATCTATTTCCATGGGTTGAAAAAAATTGAAATGCAGATAAATGAAGTAATTTACCCAAGGTCACACAACTATTAAACTGCAGATTTGTGACTCAAAATCAGGTTTGATGGAATTAAAAGTGTGCCACAATGTATGTCTTTAGATACCCATACCCACCTACTATATATGATCTAGTGTAAGTCAGAATGACATTCACAAGCATGGAAAACTTTTAACAAATCACTTTCAATAATACATAGAGATGTCACTTCCTGTGATGTTGTATGCATTAATAATGTTAGCCCAAATTTATTTCACCCTTCTTTTCACTTTTAATTTTTATTTGGATTCAACTACAATTGCAAAAACAAAAACACAAACACAAACCAATCGTTAAAACTTAATTACAAATACTTTATGCTAATTCTTAATACAGATACCGATTTAAAGCTCCGACTCTATCCATACGGCTATGTGTGGAACTAAAAGAAGTTGCAGTGATAATGTTTATTTATTATTGAGCATGTGAAAAAAAACTGTTTATTTACAGATGGTGTGTGTTTATCTGCAAGAATTCAGCTCCACCTTACCCAAATGCAAAAAGATCCAAATAACTGAAATTAAGAGATCCCAACCAAATATGTATGGGCATTGCACTTTTACTTGCCTTCCAGAATCACCTAAGCAAGATCTTAAAAGCTTTCAAATGGGTTCATTACTCAGACATGACTCTGTATCTCAAGTACAAATAGCTCCCGCTGAACAGTTCTTGCAGAGAATTTCTCAGTATGGGCTGTTAGATGTATTAAAGGAACGCAGTGGAAGGGACAATATCTCTTCCCTTAGAATTGTTTCCTATTGGAACATATGTTGCCTGGGTATATCCACACAGGTGTTATAAAGATTTATAAACAGATTTTTCCAATCTAGACAGCCAATATGATTTGTTCTCTCTACAGTAAAACCCAGGTTACAATTCAAATAATATAATTTATTTCTCTATTCCTTTATCAAACTTGTGTTTAATAAGTAGTGTCCAGCATTGTCAGTTATAGGTACAGTCTCAAATTCCTTATTGCCCAACATTATTCTTTAGAAGTAGTTGAAAACCATTATGTTGTTCTCATGAAAAATATATATACACAGATCGATTCTTTTTGTTGAGTTTCTTACAAGTATGTACAGTATATCAGAATTTTAGACTTCGTATAATAGAGTGAAAAAGTTAGTTGACCCCAATAATTTGCTGAATAATTATAAGAATACACGAAAAAATAGATCAAGAACAGTTGACTTGAAATACACTAGCTACCTTTATCACCATATAGAACCAAAACACTAGCATTTCCATTTTGAACAGGAATGGTCAGTGATTCTTTCCTAAGTCTACCGCTCAAAAAGAATGTTTCTCTAAGGAAAGAAACTGTTTATGCCTCCTAGTAGCCAGCCTCAGTCTGTGAAAACCCTTTTTGCATTTCCCGCTATGTGCATGATGCTGTATTAATTACTGGATGTGCAGCAGTGAATGGTTATGGTTCTTATCTTCTTGCAGTGGAGGAGAAATATATATAAACCGCTAACTACAAAATTTATTATTTTAATTACAGCTGAGGAAAGTACAGAAAGCTGTAAGAATGTATGGGAAGGAGGTGGAATCAGTCTGTGGCTGAGGAAGGCTGTGCTGCAGAAATGGCTCCCACAGGCTGCAGAGGGAGAAGAGCATCCTACGGAGGAAGAATGGAATGGTCAAGGCCTTGCAGTAGGAAGGGGGATTCGAGGAACCTTAGAGAGGTTGGGGATGGCTAACATGCACAGAAAAAGGATATATAAAATTATATCTAGCCATAATAAAAGATGAATACATTTTCAGAGAAGTTGGCTTCTAAATCTGGCATGACCCAGAATCACAAAATAGACATTTAGTAATATATTTTCTCTAGAATTATCACTGAATCCTAAGTTACATTAAAAAATATGGCCATATCATAGTTACCAATCTTTTAAAATTAAGAGTTAAGAGAGCTTAATAATTTTTCGAGTACAGGTCTTTTATCTCCTTGGTTAAATTCATTCCTAGGTATTAAATTTTTTTTTTTTTATGCAATTGCAAATGGAATTGTTTTTGTAGTTTCCTTCCTGGTAGTTCATTATTGGTGTATTATTATTATTTTTTAAATATTTTTTCTTTGTTGATTTTAGAGAGAGAGAGAAAGGGAGAGGGAGAGAGAGACAGAAACATCGATGATAGAGAACATCAGTTGGCCGCCTCCTGCATGACACAAAGGGCATCTGGCCCACAACCTGGGCATGTGCACTGACCGGGAATCGAACTGGTGACCTCTTGGTGCATGGGTCGACGTTCAACCACTGAGCCACACCAGCTGGGTGATTATTGGTGTATTATAACAAAAACATGGCTTAAGCACTGACTAGGGTAAAATGGCTAACTTCTGTTTCCTGACAGGGCAGAACAGTGTCTCTGTGTGGTGGCGAATGCCATTTTAATTTTTTTAATAATAGTTTCTGAATAGGGTTGACCAAATGACATTAGGATTTGGTGTCAATGGCTTTGCAGGCACAATGACTGTATGTAGCTGCGACAGAAACCCCTGAACCCACCAGGCAGGAATGGCAGGAAAGCACTTCCTATGTTTCCAAAAGTACGAAAACATCAACTTGAGTTGGGAGTGGTGGGTGGCTTCTCCTGGACCATGTGCAGGGAGTAAGTTCCCTGGTTTATCAGATGACTAGCCTTTGACAATTGAAAATAGAGAAGGACATTTAGATACTCCTTCTGATGTTAAAGAAGAAGACTCAATAAAAAATATTTGATGTTCAAAATACAGGGAAAAAACAGTCTTGCAAGTGCTTTTTCCTGTCCAGATCTGGCAATACAGTGGAAATGAAGAGTTGGAGCTCAGCAATGTTGTCATCTCCGTGGGGTCTGTAATGAATTTGCACATTTCACTCCAACTACTGTATATCTAATCGGAAAAAGATGTCCCCCATTCCCTGATCTAGTGCCAAACAGTAAAAGGTGATTCCTTATGTTAACAATTTCAGCAGAATGGCTTATTAAAACCAGATTTTAGGGTATTATAAAATGCTTAGAAGCCCTTTAAAATGTCAACTAGGATCCCCAGAGACTACGTAAAATGTCAACCCAGCTCAAGCGCCTGTTTTAAGCAGAATGAATTAGCGGCATGCTGTCGGAGGCGGTTATCCAAAACAATCAGTAAAAAGGAAAACATCAAGCTTTCTTTGTACTTTTAGATGAAATGGGCCATTCAGAATAATCTCGTGGAAATTTAAAGATCACTTATTTATTTGAAGCTATGACTAAATATTGAAATCCCAAACACCTCAGTGTTTCTTTTTCCTGCTATATCTTTAATTAACACACTTTCATTGAAATCAAGCAGTGCTCGCTTTCAAGTCGTCTGTTATCATATAATCATACGGTTATTGTAAATATTCTTTCCTTTTAACCAGAAAGGAACTCTTTTAGCTAGTCATCTCTTTCCAATAAAGGCTTTTGCTCAATTTTTCTAAAATATATTACATCATCAAAACTGATATTTCTCTTATACTTAGGATAAAGTTTTAATCAGTGAGTGTTACCTTTTCAGTATTCAGACATATGAGTTGAGAGATATAGACAATTTAAAACTTTTTATTTGTTATTTTTTATTTTTTTAATTCCTCACCCGAGGATATTTTTCTACTTATTATCAGATACAGTGGGAGGGAGGTAGAGAGACAGACAGAGAGAAACATCGATGTGATAGAGCCACATCAACTGGTTGCCTCCCACATGACCCAACCAGGGCCAGGGACGAACCGCAACTGAGATGCATGACCTGGACCGGAATCGAACCTGTGACTCATCGGTCAGTGGGCCAACGCTCTAACCTCTGAGCCAAACCGGCCAGGGCCAATTTAAAGAATTTTAGTATTTTATAGTTTGGGATTTCTAATTCAAAAATGACTGATACAGTAAAATATGTCCTATGGTTACATGAAGCATTTTATTCTGTTCTAGAGTTTTTCCAAATAGGACAGGTATGGTATGTTTTTTGTTTTTTTTTTTTTTTTAAGAATCAAAAATTCCATACAAAAGGTAGAATATAGTCATGAAAAGGAAAAACAGATCAAAGATGGTAAGAGATGCAAAAAGTGTGCATGTCCTTTTGATCAGTTTCAGTTTTTTATTCATACATAGATATATACTTTATATAAGTATTCATATCTTCTAGGTACACCTAAAGCCTCATATCCTTTTAAAATAACATTTATTTAAAAATCTCAAAATCCTTTTAGATGAAAACTGAGACACAAGTCTAAGTGATTAACATGTTTTGTTTGTGTACTTTGGTCTCTGTACAAATGCTGCTTGTGGACTGGTTGGCATCTATTGCCATGCTGAGAATATAGGATCATAAAAACACGTGTATGTGGGTAACTACCTTTAGATCATCAGTGTCTCAATGTCAGGACTCCAAAGGGACACTACGTGAACTACATCTAATTCCAAGTGTATTACAGATTTTAATCAAGTTTCAATAACTTAGACACACTTTCTTACTTATTTGTTAAAACTAAAATTTAATAGAGTTAAGTTTTTACTGTCGAGCTCTTAGAAGGCAGAGGGGAGACTATCGAAACGTGCTGAGGTTGCCCAGGACCTGGCCACCACGCTACGTAAAGATGAGGATGGTGCCCTGGCCAGTTGGAGCGCCGGCCCACGGACCAGAGTCCCGGGTTTGGTTCCCGCTAAAGGCACATACCTCGGTTGCTGTTTGTCCCTGCCCCAATTGGGGTCATGTGGGTGTCAGCCACTTGATGTGTCCGTTTCACATCCATGTTTCTCTCTCTCTTCCTCCCTCTCTCCCTCCTGCTCTATCTGAAGATAAATGCAAAAATGTCCTCGGGAGAGGGGAGGGGAGGGGAGGGGAGGGGAGGGGAGGGGAGGGGAGGGAGAACAAGAGAGAGAGGAAGGAAGGAAGGAAGGAAGGAAGGAAGGAAGGAAGGAAGGAAGGAAGGGAGGGAGGGAGGGAGGGAGGGAGGGAGGGAGGGAGGGGAGGGGAGGGGAGGGGAGGAGAGGGGAGGGAGGAAGATGTTGAAGGCACCAGTCACAGTGGCGAGGAGGCGAGGAGGAAATGGAGTCTTCCCTTTCTTTTCGCTGTGACTTAATTTGGTCAACACCAGGTTCCTACAGTCAGTGTCCTTCCTCTCAGCCCTCTCTCCTGTGCCCGGGCCGATGCTGCAGGGCACGTCTTATCTGCTCAGCAGGCCGCAGCAGTGGCAGAGTGGACACCCACACCCAGCATCTTCTGGTGTCTGACTGCAGACGTTTCCAGGTCTCCTAGAACGAACACCCTCTCCAACCCCAACCCCACGGCACACGATCATTCCACAGTTGAAAAAGGAAAAGATAGACATGGTCAGCACCAATACTGAGTGGCTCATCTGAGAGAAAGTTGGTTTCCTCTCGAGGAGGGGTTTGGGTGACTGGGTGGAAAAGGTGAAGAGATTAGAAGTAGAAATTAGTAGTTATAAAATAGGCACACGGCCCTGGTCGGTTTGGTTCAGTGGTTAGAGCGTCGGCCTGCGGTCCGGAGAGACCCGGGTTCAGTTCCCACTAAGGGCACGTACTTCGGTTGCAGTTTGTCCCCGGCCCTGGTTGGTCGTGCGGGTGGCAGCCACTCGATGTGTCCCTTTCACGTCAATGTTTCTCTCTCTCTCTCTTCCTCTCTCTCCCTCTTCCTCTCTCTCCCTCCCACTCTATCTGAACAAAAAAATGAAAAAATGTCCTCGGGTGAGGATAAAAAAATAAATAAATAAATAAAAGAGTCACAGGGATGTAAAGTAAAACACAGGGAATATAGTCAATAATATTGTGATAACTATGTATGGTGTCAGGTGGGTACTGGAAATATCAGGGCAACGCTTTGTGAAGTGTAAGAACGACCACTGTGCTATACACCTGAAACTAGTACAAAATAATATTGAATGTAAACTGTAATTGATAAAATTTAAAAAACCACAACAATGCACAGGCAGAATTTTTTGCTTCTTTTGCACATAGCTTTTTAAGTGTGGGCCACAGTTCATGTATACATATAAACTGATTCTAAAGGAGAATAAGAAGAAGTAGAAAAAGAAAAGAAAATATCAAAATAATTCTTAATACCCCATAGAAAAGAAACCTTTTTCCTAGTCTTAGTACAAATATTTCTAGATTTAATAAAAGAGAAAATATTACAACAATCAATACAGAGACGCACAACTAAACTAGCTGTAGTAACTGGGCACATTTCTCGATGAACACAGACTGTCTTACCATCAGAAGAAACGCCTGATTTTTAGATAAGCAGATAACATGAGCTGGCTGGCCTCCAAACCCCATACCTTTCAACAAGCACAGAAAACAGAACTCTACGTTTAATCCATACATCACTTAACCTTTAATACTTGTCTTACCCAATATCTTGCTGATGTTGGAGTTGTGCATGTCAGGAAAGGCTTGAAGGATTTTCCTTCGTTCATCTTTAGCCCACACCATGAAGGCATTCATTGGACGCTTTATGTGGGGTTCATTGCTACCACGCCCCCTGGATTCTCTATAAATTCTTGATTCTGAGACTCCAGCACTTCCTAAAAATAGGAGACATTGTTGCACATTAGTGGTGAAACTTTTAACATTTCTATTCCTTGCAATACTATGTTTTTAGACTATTAAAATATCTGAAAATAAAAGTACACATGATTATGGTACTTCCAGTTCTTGAGACAGATGCTTGTTTATGAAGCTTCTGTGATAAGCCTTGAGGTGGCAAATGTTGTATTTGTATTTTTAATCCATTTAGAATATATTTCCCTTTCTTTAATAGTGAATTATTTCATAATTTACTTTCTTTTTTTATATAATTTTTTTTCTCTATCGATTTTAGAGAGAGAGGAAGGAAGAGGGAGAGAGAGATAGAAACATCAATGAGAGAGAACAATGGTTGGCTGCCTCCTGCATGCCCCCCACTGGGGATGGAACCCGTGACCTCTTGGGGCATGGGTCAATGCTCAACCACTGAGCCACACTGGCCAGACTCATCATTTACTTTCAAGAGCACACAATAAACGTGAATATGTGATCTTGGATGCAAATTGGAAAAAGAATAGTTGGATTAGATCAACAGACCTGCACATACTGTAGAAAAATTAAATAGATGAAGAAGCTAAAAAAATCGTGAAACACTCTACTATGTTCAACAGACCAGATGAGCGCAGCTAAGCATGTGTCTCTGTTGCCGAAGGCCTAGCAGAACACAGAGTACTCTGCCCTTTTCCCTCTCTGAGGTTCCATAAATCAAAACGCTGCTGGATCAAACTTTGAGGTTAAAATACAATACAGACATTCTCCTGTAAAGTGTCTGGCTTTTCTTTGAAATTATGCACTAATAATAAATGCATGAAATATGCTGATGCAGCAATGACAGTCTGCTCCCCAAAAGATATTTGAAAATTGTAAACAACAAAAACAAAAGACAAATGGTTACTTGACTATGGTTTTCTAAAGAGTCAATGGCCACTCATTTAAGGGGGGAAAATATATATATTAATATATATTAATTTCCCTTAATTTTGCCCCTGATGTCTGCCTAAGTTCTCCATAGATCCACTGAAAGTCACATTCCAATCGGCAAGACTCATGATGATAAAACACAACCAAGAGTCACCGTGGAAACTTCGGAAGCTGCAGTCACTCTTTCAGGCTTTATGTGACTTTGCAGCACAGTTTCAGCAGAGTAAACAGCTTCCGGAGGTACTTGAGTTTAGGCAACAAAGGAGGGAGGGAGGAAGAGAGAGAGTGAGAGAGAGAGGCAAAACACATGAAACTGACATTAAGTTTTCCAAAAGACGGAAGAGAGATATATTGGTAGCATGCAAAATTCGGGGATTTTTAGTGTGTAGTAGTGATAAAAGCACTGTCTTTTCCTCCTTCATATTCCTCTTCCTTGCTTTTCTTAACTGGAAGGAGTTACCCAGACTTCAAGACCTCTACAGCAGCAAACCAAAAAAAACACAGCACACCTGTTGGTGGGGTTTCTCATTATTTCTCATGCATTTTATGCTCGTTGGTCTCATGAAGATTGGGAAATATTTGCATAGAAGCATGACTGAATTTAACAAACAACAGTAACAAAAGTTTGATGTTTTAATGTTGATTATCTTGCATATATTTTATCATGCTAAAACAACTTAAAATTTATGAAATGTGCTATACCAGTAATTGTTTTTTTATTGACAAAAATGAGTGCTAATATATGGCAACATCTTTCTAAAGTGGGTTTGTAACTAGCAAATGATCATTTGCACATCTGCCTTTTCTTGTTCTTACACCTTACGGCAACATAAGCAATAAAATGAATGTTATGTGACTTAATCAGAGCTAAGCGAGAGCGAGCTCTCTGTATGTGCTTTGGCCAGGTTTATCTTATCCAAGCAAAGCAGGAAATAGAAGGAAACGTTTGCATTCAATAGGCCAGAAAAACACAGACTCTTCTTGGATATCCAACTAAATAAAATTCAGTTTTGACAGAATTAGCTGGTTAAATGCTCAAGTTTAGCTAGTGCCTTGGCTAGTGCAGAACTGGACTTAAAAGCAGAATTGGCCCAACGCACAAATAGGCATTTGTGTATTTTGGGAGACTCCAGTGAAGGGCTGTGTCCTAAAGCGTGTTTGCCGTGGTGCAGACTCTTCTCCACGCAGGCAACTTCCTCTGCAGTGGTGACAGATGTAAGGGCAGAGCCCTTGTGACGCGCACTGACGCCGAGAGACGTTCCAGTCACAGCCCGGTGTCAGAGAAATGGCACTTAAACTGTGTCCCTCTTCGCTGGGCTATTAAAATTGGAGGCCTCATTTTAATGAATTGTCACTGTGGGTGTTTCTAATGTTCGGAGACGGTGCAGACGACAGAAATCCCAGGGCGCAGAAGAAGGCAGGAGGCTGGTGGCTGGAGCCTGGCTGGGCTACGGGGGAGGCAGGGCACTGCACTGTGTGGCAGAAGAGGAAACGGTGGAAATGCAAGAAACCATCCATCCTAACCACGTCCTCTGAGCCGTGTATTCTGGTCAGGGTTTGACAAATGAAAACTGGAAAATGAGCTTATAGATACAAATTTTGGAAAAATGTGTTTCAGGTACAAGAAACAGGGAAGTGAGAGAGAGACGGGGTAGGTGGTGGTCGAGAATATTTGCTCTGGAATCCTTCCATCTTGAATCCAAGACCTGCCTCCGGCACTCACAGCCCTATAGCCTTGGGGGAAATGATTCAAAATTCCGAAGGGCCCATGTCCTCATCGGTACTTATCTCACAGGTTGTGCTAGGAGAGGGTTAATGAGATGATCCACGCCAAGGCCCCAGCGGAGTCCTGGGCACATGGGGACTGCTCACACATCTGCTCTCCTGCTCCCATTGTGACGAGCAGGTATGAGGTGACTGCCTTGCATATTTTTTAGTAGTTGTAAGTGGCACCAGAGAGACACTTCTGCACACTATTGGAACACATATGAACAATTTCACAAACCATCAGAATCTCCACTCATATTGAAATCCATCATGGCATGGCTAAATTTTCCTTCTTCATTCTGTTTAACTGCCAGTTGCTGAGTCAGACTCTCCAGTGTTGTTTTCTCCTGAAAAAAAAAAAAAGTTTATAGTGAGAGTTCAATCTGGAAATGATAATTATTCAAAGACATTTTTTTCTTGGGCCATAGATAAGACATCAGCTTCTGGGAGGGATGGGATGTTGGTTTATTCACCTTTGCACATTCAGCACATTATGTAATTGAAGTAAATAATGAGCAGGATTTTTGGAGGAACTCTTCTTATTCTTAGAATCCCCTTTATAATCTTGGCATTTGGACTTGGTAGGCCAAAAAGATATCAGCTGGGATCTTTGGAGATAACCTTCCCAGATCACAAAATGTACCTAGAACCTTCATGAAAGCAACCTGTTTTAGAACATTGGAAATGCCTGCCTTACTTTCAGACAGACATTAGAAGTATAAAGAGGCATGGGTCCAGAGAAAGTCTTCCAGTAGTCAGGTGACCAACTGATAGAAACCTAATTCACAGTAGTGCCCTCTGGTTGCCATCTTTTTTTTTAACCCTCACCCAAGGACATTTTTTGACATTTTGTTCAGATAGAGTGGGAGGGAGAGAGAGAGAGAGAAAGATCAATGTGAAAGGGACACATCAAGTGGTTGCCTCCCACACGACCCAACCAGGGCCGGGGACAAACTACAACCAAGGTACGTGCCCTTAGCAGGAAATGAACCCGGGTCTCTCTGGACTACAGGCCAATGCTGTAACCACTGAGCCAAACCGGCCAGGGCTGGATGCCATCTTCTTAAATGCCATCTACATTCCTCATGTAAGGGTAATGAAGACATTTAAATATTCATTGCTAATTGCTTGTCAAGACTCCGTACATTCAATGTGAGTGCCTGCTACTTGGACCACAATTTGGTGTGGATTGCTAAGCCAAAATATTGAGTTGGCAAATTATTTGAGATACAAATATACCAAATTTAGATCTGCAAAGAAATCAAGTAATTTAAAAGCATGCAGTGCATGATTTGAATTCATGGAGAATATGGTATTACAAACAAAATTATTTTTAAGGAAAATATACTGCTTCATCTAAACCACAAGAGATATTCAACCATTTCCAAATTAGCTGGGTGAGTTTAGGGACAGAATAAGCATCCAGCGAAAGGTTTACAATTTTCTCTAGCGCTCTCCATCACTGCTCTGGGGGCGATGTTTCCAAAGGAGTTTTAAGAAAAGCATCTATTGGATTTCATGAAATGTGCTCGTGTTTCTTTATAATTTCTATTGGATTTCATAAAATGTGCTCTTGTTTTCTGAAGAACACAGTCATGGATTGAACAAGCGAATCACATATACTATAGAACAGTTACTGACATAATAAAATGTTTACAGGAAATAAGCAACTATATAAGATAATTGTATTATAGGTAAAGGGCCCAAGTAATGTTCCTGCCAAGAGATGAGGGTATTGAAATGAATACGGTACATGCTTTATCTCCATACAATCCCTGACAGTATTACAGGTGTACACACTAGTGAAACATTCTCTTACTGCAGTGGCCTGGGAACTCCTGTCCTCTATTTGTCAAATTCTATACATGAATTTAAAAGAAAAATAGTTTTAATTGTAAATCACTATAAAATACAGTAGGGAAACTGGAAATAAGCTAGTTCTGTCTACTTTTGTTCTATAGGAGTATCTAGTGCTAACATTGAAATAAATTATCAATTTAAAAAATGTAGAACTTTTTGTTTTGTGTGTAAAATTGGTATTTTAACTACTTTATATGTTCTGGATTTTCTTATTTTTATTTTTTGCTGAGAGTCTGCTGTATTATTCAGCTGAGCTCAGAAGCACCGAGGATATCAGCTTGACAGACTCTTGTTGTAGCAAATGTAGATGTTAAACTACAAGACAGTTACATTAAAAACAAACAAAAGACCACATTTCATCAATATGATATGATAGCCCCCAGGTCAATGACGACTACTGTTCTATCTTTGGGGGAATGTACTGGGCATGGATCATCTCTCAGGTTTTGATTTAACAGTGTATAGGACAATTGTGCTACTTATTTTCTAGAGATATTTCCATTTCGAAGTCTTTCAAGAAGAGAAAGCAAAGTGAAGGTGATCAGGGTAGAAAAAGAACCAAGTGGTAAGTGACTTCTATGGTTCTGAGTTCAGTTGGATGGAGCCTGTACCATCTTACCAAGAGGTTAACATTAACAACTGATAAGTGAGTAGTAAGGTCACAACGAGTTTTTACAAGAAGTAACCTTTAATCATTTACCTCTAAAGCGCAGAGTATAAAAAAATGACGAATTAGTTACCCTGAAGTGGAATTTACAACACGTCTCAAGAGGATGTCAGTTGGAGATAGTGGATGTTAAATGGCAGGATGCACCCTTTCTGTGACCCTTCGCATAGTCATTTAGGCTAATTCTCATGTGAACAGGGAAAATGAGAGGTAATTGGAGGGAACAGAGAATGTGTGGGTGCCTTTAATTAAAACACCTCACAACAGCATGTAAATCAAAATGCTAATATGGTCACATTTTAGAAACCCTCACTGACAATAAATTCAGAAGACCATAAAAGAATTGAGGTAAGGAGGATATAATAAAATCCAAGTGATTATATGGTAAATATATGGTATATAAAAATATAGTGCTTATATGGTTATTATGAGCTATTATGTAATTCCATATAAAATTAATCCTATAGTAAAAGTTTATATTTAGTTCTTATGTATAGAGGTAGATATGAATCAACATGTGGATAGAAGTCTAGATAATATATTGAGTCACCAAAAGAATGAGATTGATTTAAGAATAGTTTTCAAAGTTTAAATTCAATCTATTTAGGCATATAGAAGAAAGTATCAGCCAAATATTATAAAGCACAAAGGCTAATACACTGAGAAGATTCCTCTCATTTTCTTCTAACACATCCCTGGTCGTCCCCTTCCCAAGAGTCTACCTATGTACTATCATGTTTAAAAACTCAACCTTTTGAGATTTTGTTCCTTGGGTTAAATATTTTCTTTTCCAAAAGCCTCTATTCAAGTGAGCAAATATTACTGAGAATGATAATACTTTTAGTCTCAAAGTTCTTATAATCCAATTAATTCACGCTAAATAGAGGCAGCTGAAACAAAATGAGGGCAGTATATATTAGGTAGGAAAGGAGTAAACAGTAAGATGTTGAAAATAGGAAACATCAAAGAAATTGAGTTTGTGGAAACAGAAAAAAATGTTGATGGGCACAGGTGACAATGTTTTGTTGTTGTTAATCCTCACCTGAGTATATTTTTTCCATTGATTTTTAGAGAGAGAGAGAGAAAAAAAGTCAATGTGAAAGAGACTTATCAATTGGTTGCCTTCTTCATTGACCAGGCCAAGGATCAGACCTATAACCCAGGCACATGTCCTTGACTAGGAATCAAACCCTTGATCCTTCAGTGATCCACCCAATGCTCTAACCACTGAGCATACCAGCCAGGGCCACAGGTGACAATTTTGACCAAATGTATTGTCTTAGTTACAACTGGCTCCAATGAAAACCATATTAATCAACAATTTGTACAAATAAGGAGCAGTCTGTGCCCAACTTTACATCAGTGTTCTGGAACACAAGTTTAGTTATAATTTACTACCCTCTTAACACTATCCAGTCTCTGATCTTGGAATTGGCAAGATTCATTGGTTTTCTCTTTTCTACCTTTTTTCTATTAGATATAAAACAAACCAAAAAATAAAAAAAAAAATTAAAGAAATACTTGCCAAAATTCTACACTGCTCTAAGTAGTTTCAGAGTAGAGCATGCAAGGAGATGTATTACTACAAAGTAGTCAAAATGAAATAGTCTTGAGGGTTTATAAATTAGGACCAAACAAGATGACCTGTATGCTTTCTTTAACAAAAACAAGCAATTGGATAACAACTAGATTTCCTTTGAAAAGATGTTTCTTATCTGGCCAATCAAATTTTATACAACTATGCAGGTTTACCAAGGTGGGAAACATTAGGCAGTGTCTGATTTTACTTGAAGAAAATCTTATGATCCTATGTTGACTTATACAAATATCCAAATGAATTTTATCTTATCTACAGAAGAAAAGAGCGTTTTAGATTATGTAGCTTCTTGGGGTCAAATGCATAACTCTAAAAGTCAACATTAAAAAAACTATATTATTAATGTGTTAATATTCACTTAGGGAGTTTGGCAGCTGGTCTTGGGTTCTGTGGCTGATCCATGGGCTTGCAGAATGGAAAATGGCATGTGTATTATTTGCACATGACAGCAGGCTATCGTAGGAATCAACAAGGAGAGCCATTACATATCTAAAGAAATGTGGTCAATGAGTCAATTAGAAGTGGTCAGAAAAGATCTGTATTTTCTAAGCCAAGAACATTCTGAATGGCAAAAGGCCACAGGGATTAATGGGAAGAGTCAATATTTGTATATATAGACAATAACCCATTTAGAAAATAATGGGTTAGGGGATCAGGAACATGTCTTAACCAAATTGTCATTTATATTAACTGTATTACTTTAGATAAATCTATTATCCTCCTGTATCCCAGAATCCTAATTTGTAAAATAGGGTTTAAATATACATTAGATTCTCATTAGTTTTAAAACAAATTAAGAAGGATATACTTTTTCTTTTTTTTAATCCTCACCCGAGGATATTTTTCCATTTTTTGTACAGATAGAGTGGGAGGGAGAGAGAGAAAGGGAGAGAGAGTGAGAAACATCGACGTGAAGGGACACATCGAGTGGCTGCCACCCGCATGACCAACCAGGGCCGGGGACAAACTGCAACCGAAGTACTGTACGTGCCCTTAGCGGGAACCGAACCCGGGTCTCTCTGGACCACAGGCCAACGCTCTAACCGCTGAGCCAAACTGGCCAGGGCAAGAAAGATATACTTTTAAAATTAGTTTTAAAAAAGTCTATGAGGGAAATTGAAAAGATAAAGATTCTTCTTAACATAAGAATCACAGGAATAGTTAGTTCAATGAGTATTAATTACTCTGCCATGGTTAGGTCCTTCTATTCTCTATGGCCAAGT